CTCTCTCTCTCTCTCTCTCTCTCTCTCTCTCTCTCTCTCTCTCTCTCTCTCTCTCTCTCTCTCTCTCTCTCTCTCTCTCTCTCTCTCTCTCTCTCTCTCTCTCGCATCGTCTCGTCTTGTATCGTCTCGTCTCTCGTCTTCGCACGGGCATGGTGTAGCTAATAATGTACATAAGGACATTGATGACTCGGCGACCCCCGTGACAGCGCACCCACAGGACACGCAAGCGGGAGCTCTCCCTACTTTAGGGCAAACTTCCATCGATTAGTTCGCGGATCACGTTAGAATCAATTATTAACGTCCAATAGCAGTTTACATCGATGTACGACATGTACTCTTAACACACTTTATGCCGAATTTATCTCCAACACGGAAAATATAATTGGAAGCTGAAGCTTTTGAACCCGAGAATAACTGATTCACTTTGTAATTATTTGCTACGCGTTGTGTAATTTTGTATTATCAAATAAACTTTATTATACTTGAATGACTTAACTTTTACGACCTGAATCGACGAATCCTATCGCGCAGCTAATCTATTATCAAATCGGGTTGATGCTTATCGAAATTTATCTCTAATTGCCATATGATATCCTCCCTGAATATCTCTCAATAGATAACGAACTGCAAATATCTACGTTCAATAATAATATATGAAAAATTCGTTGGCGTTAATTATTTTTAAATATCTTTGTTAAATTTTTCAACAAATGCCGTTTCTAGCAACTTTGTAGCCTAATATAAGGCAAATTTTATAAAACATTTATAACATTTAGAGCGTGCAATATTGTATAGATAACAATTGTTAAATGCCCTATCAAATATCCCATGTCTTCCTTTTATGCCTGTGGTTTTTAAATAAATTAATTAATTAAAAATTTAATGATGTAATTAACGATAGCACGCCTATTCTAGAAATTCAAAGGAAGAAAGGGGACGAAAGTCGCGCAAATTTTTATTTAATATCGATCGGGGGATATATACTTAAGCCGGATTCTCAGAGGCTCCGATTATAATGCGAAATGTATATTTAAAAATAGACACGGAGCAAACACTCTGCACCTTCCTAGATCTCGCGCCAGTGGCGAGAGACCGAGCGACATTAAGTCTTCTGACAAAAGTGAAGATATCATCGTAAAATACAATGACTGACACGTGCGGCATTGAATCGCATTTCACCCACGACGAAGCTGAAAACCGATTTCGTAAACGGAACAGGACTAAATTATTTATGAGGAGGACCCGCGCGCGCGCGC